CCCTTCTCCACCAGCTTCTCCCCCTCCTCTACCACCTTCTCCCTTCTCCCCCTCCTCCACCAGCTTCTCCCCTCCTTCTCCACCGCGATTACATCTGATTGGTTATAACACAAACCACGTGACAAAATATGCAAATTACTCCTGTACCGGCCTGAATATAAGGCGTTTTTATCGAAGCGAAAGCGCTTTACGGTTTTGCAAATCTTCCATTTATCGACACGGTTTCGCGAAAGCGCTTTGGTCGTTTCTCGTTTTTATCTAGACGGTTTGCGAAAGTGCTTTGCGAAACCACCGAAACCGCCTGGCGAGCGATTTCAGACGGTTTCAACATTCAATATGGCGGATAGTCAAACGTAAGTTATTAAGTAGTTTTCTTAATAAATGATTATATAAGAATAATAAGTTAATGTGTTATAAAAACGTACAAAGATCAGCTAAATCCTAACCAAATGGTGATCGTAGCCGATTGTTTTGTAAGACTAAACAAACTTGTCCCGCTGATAAACTAGACTAAACGCACTTAATTGTACTGCTGAGCACCGACCCTGACATTTTTCATGCAGACTGTCATAAGTTACTTTTAGGCCTACTTTTGGCCTACTTTAGGCCTACTTTTGGGCAGTAAAGCCATTTATGTATATATAATTAGTAATTACATATAGCCTCGCGATAGCTATAGCCTATAGACCGTTTCTTGGAGCTACTGAGTACTGCCAAAGAGTCTATATTACTAATACTACTAGTACTAGTAGTAGTAATACTAATAGTAATATAGCCTGGCTATACGGTAGTATATAGTACGGCTATACGGTACTATAGGCTATACGATAGTATAGGCTTTTTAGTATACTGCTAGTGCTAACAGCCGTAACCATTGTCTAGAGTTACGGCACCCGTTTGTATCTTCCAACCCTAACCCTAATCCTCACCCTAATCCTAACCCTAGTACTAGTAAAAATATTAAAAGTAAAAAATAAAAAGTAAAGCTAATAGTAATATTTATATAGTAATAAAAGTAGTACTAGTAGGTTAACTTTTCTTCCACAGAAGAAATTTCTGGTGCATGCTACAGTGCCTATATGTGCTAGAACATGGGACTGCCGTAGCAGTAGTCAGTTTCTTAATTATTTTCTTCATTTTCTCCAGCGAAGTCCTGTCAGCCACCATTGATGGAAAGAACTATAACATCGAAGTGGACCGGGAGCTCTATGATAGAATCATTAGCGGAGGTAGGTACTAGGTACTATACAAAAGTACAACTTTATCCTGATGATTCATCGCAATTATTATGCTATTGTCTAAATAATGGATCTCTGCTCTGTAATATGTAGCCAGAAGTAATTGAGGTAAATCAGCTGCTGTCGCGGTGGCTATAGACATTTTAATTTATTGCTGCTCTGGTTTACAAGGATGGTGTGATGTTGATCACTGCCAACGTGTATAACGGTATTTAGGCTAACCCTAATAAAGTTAAGCAGCAAATATTAATTTTAAAATTGGTCTTATGCATGTATTTTCCATTTAATTGCAGATGATGCTGCTTATCAAGCAGTTCTTAGGGAGGTACGCATGTCAAATGACAATGTCAATGATGGCGAAGAAGCAGCTGGTACGTAATACTTGTGAGGATTCGTAATGTGCATGCAGCCATCGATCTTCTTGTCATCCATCGACAATTATATATAATATTATTAATATATTCCTCCACACACACGCACACACACGCGCACATACACGGACGAGCACATACACACTTACACGCGCGTACACACACACGCACATAGGCACATGCACATGCACACGCACGCGCATACACGCACACGAGCACACTCGTACATACACGCGCTGTCGCGCATACATGCGCACATACACGCGCGCACATACAGTATTACACGTGTACACACTGACACACAGTACTTGCTATGTACTTGCTATGCGATTTACTGTACTTCCTATATGTTTGGTTTTGATATCTGGCAGGATATTCACTGGAGCTTTACATACGTGGACATCCTTGCTGTATTTTACCAAGGGTACTAAAATTTAATTTGTTTAATTTGCAGCCGGGACCAGTACAAATGTGATGATTGAACCTGAAGGAGCCATCATGTCCAGAGCAGCTGTTCTCCTAATCATCGACCTCTACAAGCAGAGGGCTGCGAAATTTGCGGACAAAAAAACAATGAAAAAAAAATTGTGGGAGGAGATATGCAAGGAGATGTTGCAGATGGGGTATTTGTTCACGTGGCAGCAGATAAAAACCAAATACAACAATCTGCTGCACAAATACAAGGTAACGAAAGACCACAACAACAAGACTGGGAGGCAGCCGAAGACATGCCCATATTATAATGAACTTGACGAGTACCTCTCTGAAAAACAAAACATAAGGCCTTATCACACAAATGATTCGTTGGCTCGTGATAATTTAGAAGAGAACGAGGAATCAGATAATTCAGTTGAGCAACCACCTGTACCGGCGAAACGCCAACGAGTGAACAGCCCAAAGAAATCAAAAGTCGTAAAGCTGCTTGAAAGCATGCAGGCAAGGAGAGAAATAGAAAACGAACGAGCATTAGCTGAATTAAAACGCCAACACGAGGAAAACATGAAAAATGAAAAAGAAAAATTGGAAATATTGAAGAAATTTTTAGAGAAGTTATAAGATGATTGTAGCAGATGTGTAAGCATGTAGATCAACGCGCCTAGATAGAGCGACTAGATTAAAAGGAGATCTTTTAATTCAATGTTTACATGCCATTTTCTGTTTCTTGGCATTTTCTGTTTTCTTCAAAATATGCAAGAAATTTGTATAGTAGTTACTCATAAATAAAGGCACATAACCTCAGATGGAAAGACCAAATTACGCCCACATCTCAAAAGATTTTATTGAAATTGATGAAAAACAACACCTACACATGTTCACCCAGTTTCCGCGGTAACCATGCATGCTAAATTTATGTGTTCTTAGCTTCTCACATATCGACTTAAGAACCAGACATCGATTACTCAGGCATACCCGACTGGTCAATGAGATTTAAACCCGGCACAAGAAGTATTGAGGTATGTCACAAAGTAAAATAAAAAAAAAGAAAGTCTAAGCATAATGTTTTCATCTGTGGTTATGGGCCTTCAAGTACAATTGCATTCATCATTTGAAAAATCGAACATCCTGCAGCCTTGAGATTCTTCATAGTACATGTCCATGCAGTTTCTTCAATGTCAGAATAGTGATCGAATTGTGTAAACTGGAGTTGATTGTGAAACTTTGATTGTTAGGTCCCCCACAACAGGTTTTAGTTTACAGATTGTAAAGAGAACCAACTGCTCATTACATCTTTGTGTAATCTTTACATAAATTAATGTAATACTTTTTTAGGCTACATAACTGAAATTGGAGAAATTTCTTACTAACATATGTAGCATTTCTCTTGAATAAGTTCTCAAACAGTTTATTATATGAAACACATTGTCACATAAATGTAACTATTACATGTAAATTAAAGGTATTGAATCTAATTTTAAAAATGCATACAAATAAAAATTTTCTAGTACTCTTTAAGTACATTTTACATTTTGTTTTTATCTATTTTTAGCAACGCGCATAACCGTTAAAAGAAATTTTATTCTATCAACGTAGCAGCTATCTGTAACAATTAGGCCTGCTATGCAACGCGCGTAGAAATGCACAATACCCCGGTTTTTTTCTGGTGCTATATATATGTAGGACCTGACGACCTACCCCGAAGAGGGATCACACGGTCTAACTTTCTAACAGTATAGAAATAGCTCTGCGTTTTGCAATACCTGATGCCTTGTCGTTACCTAGTTCTTCAGCATCGTCATGCATGTCAGTGTCATTCTGCCGTCCTTCTTGCAGATATTCTTCAACCATGTCATTGCTTAGCAGACATATGTTGTGCATCACGAAGCAACTAGAAATTAGATCTATTAATCTGTTGTGTTTATGCATGTCAATGTATTTCAATCTGCGAAAGCGTCCTTTTAATAGTCCGAAAGCATTTTCGATTTTCATACGTGTAGAGCTATGTTTGTAATTATACCCCATTTCAATTTTGCTTCGATTTCCGTTATCCTTGAAGGGGGTGAGTAACATGTCAGTAAGTTCATACGCCGAATCTCCAAGCAGATGGCTATTTTCAGGGAAAAAAACTCTCCTTTTGTTGTCGTTCTCGCATTGAATAGCTAGAGTGCTGTTTTTAAAAACACGCGAATCGTGCGTTGACCCTGGCCAACCGCTGTACACATAAGTAAACAACATTTCATGATTGCAAATAGCTGATACGTTTATCGAATGAAATTTCCTTCTGTTTACGTATGCTTCAGAATCCTGTTTAGGACTCTTTATGGGGATGTGTGTTCCATCTAAAGCTCCTAGCACATTAGGAATTCCTTGTACATCACTAAAGCCATTGAATACATTATGTATCTCCGCTCCAGATGGCCATTTTATAAATTCTTTCTGTAGGTGGTTGATCATTACATTAGACAGGTTGTCTGAAAAGATATGAGAAAAAAATCATGGATTAATTCGGATTTTTGTCTGAAAATATTGGGTGCACTTTTACTATCCTCTACAACATTTTGTAATGCTCCAAGATGCAATTACAATATCCTTCCTTATCTTTAATTGTAATATTTAACCTAATTAATACCTATAATATTGTACACCGAGGCTTCACAAATTCCAAAGAAATCGCCAATCCTCATCAAGGGATCTTGAGTAGCACAGTAGTACACAAATACCAACACCTGCTTGTCGAATGGTATGTGTGATTGTCGACTATACTGACCAGCCATTATAGGCCCAATGCTGCCAGTAATAGTTTCAAACGTTTCCCTCTTCAACCTGTAATATAATAACAAGCATAATGATTAAAATCACAGTAGTTATGTGGACAAAACTAGTCTGTGCTTTTGCAGAAACATTCGTTTCTCGTCGGTGATCTGCAGTTGCAGAATCGTGCGCTTTGACGCAGTGCACCCTGTCATCATAATTCGACACTGACTAGGCCTACGCGGTGCATGTGTACATTATTTATACTTATATGCTGCGGCGATATATTAGTATATGCAGCAATTACTATGCGGCGATCATATAATCATTACATATGCATTAATTATATTAATTATTATTAATTACATATACTTATAGTTATTTTGAACTTATATATACTGCGGCAATGAATTTGCACGTGATTCCACAAATTTTCCACATTTGCGGAATAGCTGTTATATAAATGTAACAATTATGTGATTAATCGTACCGGAATCTGGCAGCGAAATCGTCTGGTTCGTATCTGGGCACTATTGTCGACATGAAATCACTAATACGGGGTTTATGGTTTCTATCTTTACAGTATTTTAGGTACTCTACAACGGTGACAGCATCTAATAAATTGTCACTACAGAACTTTCTACAAATTTCGAGTGCCTGAGAACTAGTTTTAGTACCTAGCTCCTGACACAATACGAAAAAGATAAATTTCTTCTGCAAATCATTTCGCTGGTCTGCCATCTTGCGTTGTTTTTATGTAACAAAAGCGCTTTCACCAAACCGCTGATCACGTGATTCAGGAAACCGATTTACCGGTTTCGCTTCGATAAAAACGCCTATAGACAAACCCGGGTAGAATAGGCTGCGAATAGCTAGCACGTGACTCGTGACGTTGCGTGCAAAACTATTATATCGTGCACCCGGCAGATAGGTGCGATATGATATGACTACTAGGCACTTAGGATATGACTACTAGGCACTTAGGATATGACTACTAGGCACTTAAAAAAAACACCTAACCCTAACCCTAACCCTAAAAAAAAAATTATATTAAATTAAAGTGCCTAGTAGTCATATCATATCGAACCTTTCTGCCTTCTGCTTATATCGTGCATTTCTCTTTCATTCTAGCTGTATATATCTAGATATATACGTATCCATATTTATATAATCTCTTAAGTATAAATCAAAGTTTTTTATGCTAATTTGAATAATAGAATAAATCGCGTTTTCTTATTTTTTATTTGAAATGTTGTGGGGCACACATCGGCAAATTCAGCTTTTGAGAGTGGTTGGAAGATGGCGGCAGATGGCGCGGTGACGTCAAACTCACGCTGTGCGTGGATAGGCTAAGAGCAGCTAAGAGCTAGCCAGTTAATATAGTAGAGATCAGTGATAGGATAGGATAGTCTGTGACCCCACCACGAAACTAGACTAGCTCCTCGTCTTTTTATTTCGGTAATAGACCAAGTTCTATTGGGTAAGTGAAGGATAGTGGTTCCCTCTAGTACCAAACTTGTTTTGATCGCGTCTTACCCCGCCCTCACCCAGCTGATCGAAGCGAAGCAAAGCAAAGTTAAAGAGAACATAAAACGGCCATTATGGATTATATATTTCACTTCGTCTCTTTCTTCTCAGCTCTCATAGCGATTGTTACGGTGAGTCACTGTTCATATATAATATAATTGCGCGTGAGCTTCAGTTTTACGAGAAAGATATGCGAGGTATTGACCAGGCTGTGCGACCGATTCAGGGCCGTTTCTTGGAGCTAAGCGGAACGTAGCTCTAGTACTATAGCCCGCGGATCGCTGCCGCAGGGCTATAGCACATTCTGCCATA